AAAAAAAAAAAAAAAAAATGAGAAGAATCTGTAGGGTTTTTGAGAGGCAGTGTGTGTAGATAAGAGGGCAGGTCTTTAAGGCAAATTGTATTTAATTCCCAGCCCTGCTCTACATTAACTATGTTGAATGATTTATTGATCTGAGTTTCCTTATCTGTATCATGGAGGCAGTGATAGAGTAATATCCCTCATAGGATTAAATGATTTAATACTTACAAAATACTTGAACTAATACCAGGTACTGCATGGTGCTCAAAAAGGGTTAATTTAGTTTTTGTGTTTTGTTATGAGAAATACTAACTAATATGAGTTTGCTTCCCTTTGGTGTCAAAATGGAATTTTTTGCCTATGGTGATTTTCCCTATCTCACTGGCGCTGACATTTAGAATCCATCATTTTTCTGACCATTAGACACAGCACTTGGCTGTTGGTTCATTTTCAGCTTTAGATTTAGATTTTGAGCACGTTATTTCAGCTTAATAATTTACTCATTTGCGACTGAATTAAATTGTCCTTGGGCTACCTCTTCATTGCTGTTAAAAGGCTCTCTAATTGGTTTGCTGTAGGTATTTTAAAACCTGTAGAATATTTGCTGTGTCTGATCTTTTATGAAAATAAGAGTTGTCATCCTAATAACAAAGTCGTCCTCTTAATCAGTGAGATCAGATTTAGTTGTTTAAAAGGGAGAATCATGGAATGTGTTGCCATATACTTTTTATTTTACTTACAAACATGCGTTGAGTTTTCAGTCTTCTGATGTAGGGCCAGGGCCCCATCTCAAGCAGCAGAGGAGTCTGATTCAGCTTTATTTTTATAGTGGGAAACTTGTTTTCATTGATTTCTGCATTAAATAACTACTGCTTAAATAAACATTTGAGAACAAACTTGGTGAATAGATAGCTAACTAGTACAGGGTACTAACTGTGTGGGAAGTCAGTATTGCATTTTACAGAAATGGAGCACATGTTAGTTTCGTCTCAATAAAGTATTTCAGGCTCTGCGCCTGTAGCTCAGCTAGCCAGTTTGAACCCAGCCAGGGCCTGGCAAACGACAATGACAACTACAACCAAAAAATAACCGGGCATTGTAGGCAGGCACCTGTAGTCCCAGCTACTTGGGAGGCTGAGGCAAGAGAATCACTTATGCCGAAGAGTTTGAGGTTGCTGTGATGTCATAGCCCTCTACTAAGGGTGACATAGCGAGACTGCCTCAAAAAAAAAAATCATTTCAGAAATACAAAATGAAAAAGGTTCAGTCCAGGTGTGGTGGCTCATGCCTATAATCTTAGCACTGTGGAAGGCTGAGATGGGTGGATTGCTTGAGTTGACAAGTTTGAGACCAGCCTGAGCAAGAGTGAGACCCTGTCTCTACTAAAAATAGAAAAAAAACTGAGGCAAGAAGATCATTTGAGCCCTAGAGTTGTCCAGTCTGTTTTTTTAATGTTTGTGTTTCTATTATGTATTTTTTTGAGACAGTGCCGTGGCATCATAGCTTGCAGGAACCTCAAACTCCTGGGCTCAAGTGATCCTCTTGCCTTAGAGTCCCAAGTAGCTGGGACTATAGGAGCTAGGCACAGAGCCTGGTTAGTTGTTAGAGATGGAGTCTTGCTCTTGCTCAGGTTGGTCTCAAACTTTTTTTTTTTTGAGACGGAGCCTCAAGCTATCCCCCTGGGTAGA